ATGGAGAGAGAATATGGATTAATTTTTAGCAGAAATATAATGTTGCTAAAATAAATAGTGATTTGATGATTAAAAAAAAAAAAAAAATTGTTTCACCTTCTTTCTCACTTCTCTCCGGGCAAAATTCAAAAATTCATATAAAATTAAAAGTTCAACAGATGTCTTTATAAACCGATGAGAGTAATTAAGAAAGATCATTTTATATGGACAAATAGTAAGTTATCATAGAAAGATGATAATTATTTTTTACTGTGAGCTAAGAAAAGCGGATGTTCCAAAACGGGACATTGGCGTATAAAGGTATGTATATCTTTTAATACCATAACGTACTTTGGTTACAGTGAATAAAAGCACGAGAGAGATTTTTCTAAATGTGAAAATTTTCAGGAAGTCTCGAGAAAAGATGTTTATGACTGTTGAGATTTGTTTTCGACTCCCGTATTTCCCCCTTCTCCTCTCCCCTCACACATTCGCACCTCAGACCTCCTCTTATCCCGTCCGACTGTTACGTCATGTACTTATATGGCAGATTTATCATTGAGCCGGCAACATCGCACATATTAGCGATAGCCCGGCAATACATGTATTGATTGATTGATTGACGGTATAGTGGTTAGGGAAGCGTGACTGCGATGACGAAGGGCCGGGGTTCGAATCCGGAGAAAACATGGATGTAAAATTGTCTCGTCCTTCGGCAGCGGTGGCTGCCTGTTAGATGCCTTCAAAATAAAATGGCCACCACTTCTGTCCCTAGTAGTGGCCAATGCCCTTATAAGAAAGGACGTGCCATTGAATATATATATATATATATATATATATATATATATAATTTATTTCCTAAACAGTATTGATTAATTGATTATATTATCTCCTAAGTTTAATTAAAGTAGAATTATTTTAAAAGTGTGCATCCATACTGGTAAGTTATATTTTGAAAGATGTTTTGAAGTAATTTGAAAGCAAAATGTTAATAATGTTTTAACGGGGACTGGAGTTAAATCATCACGAAGAATAATATTTCAATTGTAAAAGGAAAAATTAAAACATGTAATTATTGTTATTGATCGGAAATTAGTTGACTTTTCAAGGGGAGCAAACCAACTCCCGTTCAATGAACAATAATTGATAAAAATACGCAAATATGAAAGTGTTTCGTCTTTTCCATTCACTAGTATTTTAAAAAAAATCTTAACAGACGGTCTCTCTCAGATAAGAACTCCACAAAATACATCCCTCAAGAATTCCAAGTCCCACCCACTACCATAAATTACTTCACCCAAGTCTTACCGACTGATATTATTCAAAGCCCCTACTGCCGCTAAGAATTTTCGGACACCCTACACTTCTGAGTCAGACACGAAGGAAACACTTGCCAACCCCCACTAGAAAGAATGTAAGTTACTTAATACCTTTCTGGCCTTTATATCTTCATGTACATTCACTGATCTTATTTATAATTTTTTTCTATATTATTTTTATATTATTTTTATGTTTTCTTTGATTTGTTTTTACAAAGTTTGCATTATTTATCTTATTTTGTTAATCTCTTCTATGTTTATTTCAACTTTACTTTGAATTCGATTTCATAATGACAATTTCCAATGTTTAATTTCTACAAATAATATAGTAACTCAAAAATGCATAAAGATGATGGTCGGGTGGGGGGGACGGTTACTCGAGTTTTAACGGATTCTCTTACAGTAATTGCTTTATACTCCAAATTGAATTGACTAAAATGCTTCATGAGAATAAGTTCTTTGAGTAGTAAGCATAATTCTCGGAATTATTTGGCCTGACTAGAATTGCCGATTTGGCTTTAACTTATAACTCGAGTAAAGACGAAACACTTTCGTATTTACGTATTTTTATCAATTATTGTTCATTGAACGGGAGTTGGTTTGTTCCCCTTGAAAAGTCAACTAATTTCCGATCAATGACAATAATTACATGTTTTAATTTTCCTTTTACAATTGAAATATTATTCTTCATGATGATTTAACTCCAGTCCCCGTTAAAACATTATTGAACATTTTGCTTTCAAATTACTTCAAAAACATCTTTCAAATATAACTTACCAGTATGGATTGCACACTTTTAAAATAATTCTACTTTAATTAAACTTAGGAGATAATAATCAGTTAATCAATACTGTTTAGGAAATAAATTATTATTAACTAACTTTGCAGCAATTGCGCAAGTAATAATAACTTGTATTCGCACTAAATGGATTTAAGTTCATAGAACATTATATATATATATATATTGTGTGGATTGGAATCACGTGATTAAAGATTTCCATTACTTTCCCGTTTACATACATTATGTTGATGTCTCATTCAAAACCATTTCAGACTGTTGAAGAGACATTGGAATATTTTTATACATTATTTGATGATAAAGAATGTATTGATATTTGTCAACTACCCCCAGAAGAAAGTGGATGTTTGACGGATAAGGAAGGTGTAAATGAAGATATTTTTGAGCCTGTTCTGCCAGCGGATTTATGTGGAAAACTAGAATTTTCTAATAAAATAGATGATGATGAAATATTTCATGAAATCCTTCAAAGGGAAGGCAGAATTTGAAACTAAAACTCCAAGAGTCCATTTGAAGTCTAATGAGAAAAACATTGAAAATCGGTGGGGAAAAAATTTAAATTTTATCAAGATTCTAAAAACTGGCAGCATTGAAAATATTTGCGGTTTCCCGAACTAGTTACTTTATCTCCAGTTGAAATTTTTCACAAGTTCATATTTGCTGCATTTAGCAAATATGACAGGAGTTTACGTAATGCAGAAAGGAGTAGTAGATGAAAACGATATAGGAACTTTTTTTTTAGTCCAAAGGGATTTGAATCTCGAAGGACTATTTAGTTTCGTTTTGGCATTTTGCGTCGGACTGATAAATGTCGGTTCACTTTTCAAACTGTTGCCACAAAATGTTAGAGTCCTGCATTATATTTGAAGAAATTAAATAATGAAAAATCTGCATAAATGTATGTATATTTCTCGTATTGTGATAAAACAACGGTACATAGAGTCATCGAATTTTGAATAACGTAATCCTCCAACGAATATGAGCATGTGGAAGACCAAATTTGAAATTTGAAATTTGTTTTATGATCGATTTCCTATTTTTTAAAACTTTGACGAATTTTTGATTAACAAACTCAAGGATTTCAAAGCGAGCAATGGCAACGTTGTGCAGAAAAAACATTTTTATCTCCAGCGCGTGAGTCTCTGTATCGGAAATTCTAAAGATATGCTCGTTTTAAAACTATTTTGCGATATTGCTGTTGCACTGGATCTTATGGTTTAAGTGCGAGGAACATGATATTTAATAAAGAAAGGTAACACACAAAATGTTAAAAAACGCCCCTTTGGACGTAATTTAAAATCTGAAACATTTCAGATTTTTTTTTTTTTTTTTTTGTGGGGTGTTGTGTTGTAACGCGTCTAAATCCTCTTCACAGTGGTAACAGTTGATCCTGCGACCCTGATGACTTTCTTGGACAGAGACAACAGCAGATAGTCTTCAGGTAAAGAAAGCTAACTGGCATATTTTTATTTTCGTAGAACGGTTGTGAGCTGTGGTAGTTCATTGACTGCTGTTCAGATAAGCATGCCTTAAACTCTGTACTTAAAAACTGGACTCTATTCTATATAACGCATCAAAGGCTTAAATCGAAGAGTTCACAAGGTACTGAAGTCGCATTTATGAAAACGAAAATGCGAACGAAAACGAACGAATTGAAGGTGTTAAGGCAACAAGAATCAGAGTAATATTCGTACAGTTGTAGGATTAGTTTCGAAGGTTTTGAACATGTATGCTTTTTTTTAGCACTTTAATAAAGAAAAAAAGTTTTGATTTTGTGAGGCATTTAATGTTATAAAATTTGTACATGTTTTAGATTAATTTGAAAGCTTTCTCAGTTAAATAAACAGAAACAGGAAAAAGTGGCCGGAGCACCAGAACTTTGCATGTGCTCACACAGGTTCAATTAATAGGCAGTGTGAAATCAAAATATTCAAAGAATTACTAGTTTTCTTTGTCTGGTTGGCTTTTCCAGTCCAACGACATAGATTCATGAAAAGTGGCGTTTTCGGCATTTTACTAAATTAAATTGAAATCAATATCTATGGCGCAGGAAATCTCACTTAAAAAAAAAAAAAAAAAAAAAAAAAAAAAAAAAACTCAATTGTTTTCGGTGAAATTACTTTTACATGCCTTCTTGGGTCAGTGAACTAATCTTTTTTCAAACCCTTGCTGTAGCATTTTACTTTTACGGAAGAAATTGCAGTTATTTCCAGTCATTCAGTCTGCGTAAAACTTCTAAATTTCATCTCTAACGCTAACTAAAATGTCAAGTACTTATAACATTAAAATGATAGTTTACTGTTATTGTTAAAATCAACTCTCCAAGACATAACCATGATAGCTTTCTCTCAGTTTAGGCTATCCATCTAATATTTCAAATTATATATTTTCGATTAAAAAAAATATACAGGTATTATTAAAAAAATACCATACATAGAAGTTTGTGACAAAATGCGCTGAAACGTGCGTTATTTATTTTATTTTATGTATAATTGTAATGTAGATCATAAAATGCCAATATTCTGTGTAAAGTTTGCTTAATTTATATTGTTTCATATTCTCCAGCATTTTGGAATGTATAAGAGAAATGTTGCGGGGATGGTGTTACGTGATAAGTAAATTTCGTATTTTTAAGATTCACTTTCGTTTATTATAGTTTTTTTTCTATGTCAAATTTTTTTATTTGTTTATGTGTGTTCTCTAACTATAGCATCATTTGAAAATAATACTATATATGAGAGACAGAAATGGAAACACAAGAAAGCAGCATCTCTCTTTTTTTTGGCAGATTTCGTTTCATTTGGCGATGATTTGGCGAAGCGCTCGAATAACCGGTAACCTTGCTGAGGCTTTGCACGTTTGTTCAGCTTCGAGGATTTCTACCGCACTTTATCCTGGAGCAGGATGTAACACTTGCTGATGTTTTGTAATCTTTTATCACTTACGAAGTACCGCTTTCAGAATTTTCTTACATAATGATTTTTGAGTTTGCTGTTGCCGTGTTTGTGTAAGCGCCTAGATCCGTTTTATGGTGTTTTTGTGCATCCAAGTTAAAAATTGTCTTTGCGATAACTTATCAGAAATTCAACACACTTTTATGAGTAACAATTTCATTTTTTACCTATCTGGAATTGTCTGCGCAATTGCATAATAAATCAAAGATGACGAATATTTTTTATCTTTTCGCGATGATCTTTTTGAACTAATTTCAGTAGAGTAACTTTGCCCGTTAAAAAAATTCACTCTCAGGAATAAAGGACAGGTCAGCTAATGAAGTTCCGCTTTAGATGGACACGAGGTCAAACCTTATGACAGACCTTGTTCTGTTAATCTGTTCATAATTGCTCTGTATGATTGTGATTGGAGTACTACTTATCATGGATCTGTGCCGTAGATGATTCCATAGTCATGAGTCGACAGCCCATTTCCATACTACCAGCAGTTGCCGAGCGAACTAAATGGGTAAGTTGCGCAAGCTTGTGTTTGGATTCAGAGTTCAGAGAGTCTTGTAACTAAAATTACAATAGGTTCAATTGCGCCACTCTTCTGAAGGGAAAATGATAGTTTACTGTTTCTGTATATTATCAGCAAAGAGTTTTTATTTTTTATGTTTTGCTATTTTGTGCATTTAGAATTAACGGAACTAAGGGGAAGGAGGCAATGATTTGTGTGTGTGTACAAAATTCAAAGATTGTTAGATGTATATTTTGAATACCTTGTAAAATATGCATTAAATCAAGCTTTCTCCAACTGGAGTGATTTCCAACATGAAATCCATTGATTGCATTCATGTGTTTCTTCTGCTAGAGTGAAACAAATGTTTAAATATCATTACTTGGTTTGCTGTTAAAATGTAAAATTATTGTGCCACCTAATGTAGAAAGTGCTTGTTTGCAGATTTTGCATATGTTCAAATTTTAACACTATATTGTGGAAATAATTTTTTATTAAAATTTTCGAATTCATATTAAAAATAAATGAAATTTTGATTTAATAACATATGTACATTTTTAAGACATTAATTTATTTTAAATTTTATTATGCGTATGCTATTCATTTTTTAAATGTCTGTAGTTTAATTACCTTTTTATTTTAATTTTAAGATCATATTTTTGGTTTGCTTCTGTGTAAGAATGGTTGGTTGAGATTCTGTACATTGTATCTGTTATGTGTTTAAGTGAATTTATGGATTGTAGTGTTTGGCAGATGAGTCTAAAACTGTGACATTTCGCCATAAAGGATCCAAATTCCGTAAGGGTTGTCAGTCAAGCACTGAATTCTCCGAAATTAATTTTTGAACGACAGTTCTATGTCTTTTGTAAAGGAAGAAAACCTTATCAGCAAAAGAGATAATTTGAATATTTTTTCAAGGCAGGATTTGAAATTTAGAAACTTTTTCTGTCAAATCCAACATTAAAAAAATACACATTATCATTATTGCCGAAATTCTAAGAAAAATATTTCCTTATGTTCAAGAACTTGTTTGTAAATTTCTTCATATTTAAAGGAAATATCACTCTTTTTTTTTTTTTTTCTCTCTTTTCTTTTCTTCAAAGTATTTAGTGCAGACGTCCTTCATTATGTAGTGAGCTGTCATGAAAGTTGCCTTGTTTTATCTATTTGTTCCCTTATTCCTGATTTTAATTTCTTTCACAGAACAGAAACTTTCGAGATTAAAAATAAAAAATTAATTTGAAGCGAAAATCATGGAAATGGTAAATTTGAATTTAGAGAATGCTTATTAAATGACATATTTATTATTTTACTTGTTTGTGTTTAATTTAAAAAATTCAAAAAAGTTTTAAAATAATTAGCAAAACTGCATAGTTTTCATGATTTGCCTTCCAGTAACTAATTATGAAATATGAGATGAACATTAATATTTATTTTCTGATCTAGTAATTTATTTTCTAGTTATAATTTATTGTCTGGTTATTTTCCTTGTAAATTTCATTTGTTGGCCTATGTGTATAAAATATATAACCATATATATACCATATATATACCATATATATTTATTATTAGAAATATATATATGTAAATAGAGTGAAAGAAGGGGAAAAATTTTAATTTGTGTATACATTAATATTACCATTTTGTCAGGAATTGGAAATACAGGTACAGGTCGAAGCTAGATCAGTACCTCCTGTGCCACAGGTAATTGAGGTATCGCTGAACTTAGCTAACTGTTAAGCTTACCCAATTTTGAGAAAACACCCCTCTTTTAACTACCACCAACTCTCGAGAGGACTTTTGGCTTGCGGTATATTTTGAGGGTATCCATGCCTTCTACTGGAATCGTAATAGCCCGGGCCCATCGGTACTGCAGGTAGTGTCACTAATAACTATACGGGGTGGGCGGCGCTGAGCAAAGAATCTTCACATATAATACAGGGAAGAGATTGTACGTGAAATCTTAGGCTATTGAGACATTCAGAAAATTCAAAATAGCGTGCCCCATATTCTTCAGGATTTTCTTGTGAAATTGGTATTAATATTTATTCCTGGCACATAATCCGCTTATTGGAATTACACATCTGGATATTAGGCTTTTTATATTTCACGCTATCACGTTTAAAGTTTTAAAGAAAAGCTTTAACGTCAAATTTATTTTGAGCTTCTTTTGGAATTTTCATGTCTGTGTCTAGGCATATGCGTTCCATCTCAAACTTCAAGAGGTAGAAAGGCATTTAAATATTTTTTTTTTGCTGATATTTTGTGTCGAGTTTTTCTTTAAATAGTAAATAAATTCGACTGAATTGCTTTTGTGTTATTAGTATATTCTGATGTATATATGTTATGAGAATCATGTAAACTTTTGAATGATAAAATATTTTTATTGTTTATAATTGATGGACAACTTCGGAATTTCCACCTGTTGTCGGATGGTTAAGTTTGTATTCGATTGCGCTAACCGAAGTAAAAATATGCCATTGTGTTCGAACTGCATCCGGGAAGCGCTTCATTGCCAAACAAAAATGAAACCCGTGATCATACGGGAACGTGTCGAAAATACCTGTGTTTATTCGGTTTCACCATCTCCGTCCTTCTTTTCCCGCTCTCTGGCCTTCGATGGTTCTGATGTGACGTCACGCTAATTCAGTATGACGTATTTTGATTTGATGTCGTCATAGGCATCGCCTAGTGTCAGTCTTTTCGTGTTGACCTTGTCACCAGCCTTTAGGAACTATTTTTGCTTCTTTTTCTTCCAGATCGCGACTTGGAATAGTTTATAGTTTATATATTCCTGACGTGAATGTAATTGGAAAGAGTTTAATACATGTCTGCTTGTGACCGGTTTGGTCTTGCATTCAAAATTCTGTTTAATTGATGAAACGTGAGGTTTGTAAACAGGTTGTCGTGGGTTTTTAAGTCAGTGTTGTGATAGTTTAAAAAACTGAATAAATTGTATAAGATTTTACTGCTTGGAATTGAGGCTACATGTTAGTTTATGATTTCTTTTCGTCTCTTTGCATTATGATTGAAGTCATAAACCATATTTTTGCAGCAGTTGGTGAAATATACTTATAGTTTCCATTGTTTATTTTAATAAATTCTTGTATAGGTACGTAAAAAAATGTCGTTTCTTACTTTACTGTTATTTGTCCCCACCGTCACAAATATCATTATTATTATTTATTTATGATATACTCATGCTCTTGATTTGTGACAATTCAGTATAGTGGCCAGATCTTCAAATCACTGATAATCCAATTTGGCTTCGAATTCCGGTGAAACAGACATAAGGTATTTTCGTTTTGGGGTGGGGGCAATTTGGGTTATTCAACCGTGCGTTTGCATGAAGGCATTGGTCGGAGAAGACACCGAGAGTTTTGCCAGGTAGACCAATTTTTCATGTGTGTGTTGGGAGGGGGGTGGAGGGTTCAAACACCAAGACGCGTTGGAGTAAACCCACACCGTTGGTTTTGGGTTAGCAGCCAGCAGCCGCTAACCTTTGTATCATTTAGGGCGGCCGTAATATAAATACGAGTCAGTTTCCTTTTTATAAATTTGAACGAAAGACATTCCTCCCCTATTAGGCAAATATCCGTGGTGCGTTTTTTTCACATTCACTTAAACAAAAAACATCCGTCGATTGCTACTTTTAAGCAGAGAAATGAAAAATATAACTATTAAGAACTGCTGCAATGTTTATATTTTCTCTTTCAGATTGGCACGTTAAAACTGCAGCTATCTTTCTTAATGAGGTGTGTTTCTTTAAGACTAATTAGCTCTAATGATATTGATTAATCGAGTTTATTGTTCTGCGGCATTATTTCAGTAATTTAATCTAAAAGATAAATTTAATTTCTCTGCGACTGACCCACGGTCGAATTACACGATTTTTACAGGATAACGTCTTACATGATATAGGTATCGTTTACTAGAGTAGATGACGATAACTATCAAGGAAGCGAATTACAAGCTATTTTGAGACGCAGCGGATTGTGTGGTACTATTGTATTTGTTATTTCGGAAGTCAAAGTGCAATTCTGACTTTTATTTTTAATAAATGATTTTCGATTTTGAATTTCTTTTGTCAAGATAAAACAATTAGTGATTTTATTTCCTAAATTATTTTTGTCCTGTGAGGGTCCCCCCTTTCCTTTCTCTCTGTTTTGTATAAGGCTAATAATGAAACGTGTAAGTATTATACAAATATATGAATTAGTTAACAAATTACATATTTTTGGTAATAACTAGATAAATTTGTTGAATTGTAATGGGAAATAGATTCAATTTAGAAATAACGTGAAATGAGCGGATTACTTGAGCAAATGGGATATATGTGTTACATATCTATATCTGAGCCGAGAAATTAATATGAAAGCAAAGAAATAACGTTGCGCAATTAGTGAGAATAATATACAGGGTGGTCATAAAAATTTCCCCAAATATATGAACCCCTAACGGCCTGTCCGCTCAACCAATCGGAATGAAATTTCAGATATAGTTATTTAAAGCTATGCTCTCAAGATTGTGATGATTTAAAACAATGGAGTTCTCACGGTTACGGTTATAGTGACAAAATTTCGAAATTTTAAAATGGCAACACCCATTTTTTTCCCTGCGCAAATTGATCAGCGCATTGAAAAAACATGGATGGCAGAGGACTGATACACGTATGGCGAAAATTGCCAGCGTGAAACATTTGCAAAGAAGTGTTGTCTATTGTTTTAAATCATTACAATCTTCAGCGCATACCTTGAAATAACAATATCTGAGATTTCATTTCGATTGGTTGAGCGGATAGGATTTCATTTCGATGGGTTGAGCGGAGCTCTAGGAGTTTATATCAGAGAAGCTTTTCTATGACCACCCTTGTATCACTTCATCTTAATGATTCCAACTTCATTAAGTTTCGCCATAAGAATGTGGGTGCCTTGCGACAAAAACTGTAATAAATTTAGAAAACAGGCTTAACTTGCAAAGTTTAAGTTCAACGTTAAGTTCTACAAACAATAACTTAATAATTATATTGAATGTGAAACATCCACAGGTATGCAATTTAAATTCATACCAATTAACATAAGCACTACTTGGTGCCACCAAAAGCATGCGTTTATTATGGTGTCTCCTGTTGCAAAACAGTTTAAACGAAGAAATTTGAAATCCATTTACAGTGGGTGTGGCATCAAATGAACAAATTTATTGACAAATAACGTCTGTCGCTGCATAGGAACTCCAATTTAAAGAAATGTAATTCTAATTAAATGCAAACAAACAAACAAACAAACAAAAAAAAAAAAAAAAAAAAAATTCCACCACATATATGTTTTCAAAAAATGTTTTTAAATTTCTTTATTGTTGACTCTTTTCTTTGATTTTGAAGCTCTTTACTTCATGTGAACAAATTTTTAATTAGTGATAATCATAATAAACCAAGTTTATAAAATCTCAAAGTGAGTAATTGTTTCTAACAGCTACCAGAAAAACCTATTCAAGAAAATAGTGGTAATTATTTTCTAAAAACTTAAATTTGTTCACTTTTGAAAATGCTGCTAAGTTTAAAAGTTCTGATTCCTGTAGATATAAATAGCTTGTTATAAAATCTAAAATCTCAAAGTGAGTAATTGCTTCTATAGATATAAGTATCTTGTTATTATTTTAGTATAAAAAGTATTACCATGGACCTCCCGTGTACCCTCTGTGTGTTACCGTAAACTTCGGTGTGTTGAAAAGTGTATTGTATGAAATTTAACTTTTAAGGTTACAGTAATGTTGAGAAGTACTGCGCTTGTCGTTACCAGCTACCGTAAACTTCTTAATCATCATGAGTATTTCCCAGTTTCTTTTGGAGACGTGGAAATTAAATAAATATGTTTTCATATATTGTTCCGCCGCCCAACTGGGATAATGGTTAGCGACGCTGACTGCCATACCGAACGGACCTGGTTCGAATCCCGGAGGAGGCATAGATGTTTGTAAATGTATAGAGTCTCTGCTGCATGGGGCACTCTAAATATGCGGCGAGCCTCTCGAGAGGTTGATGGTAGGGAAAGAGGGGTGGGAGACCCTCGCACCCATCCTCCCCCGCGGTGCCTTACATCAAAATTGGGAGCAAAGTTGTATTGTCACCTCAAGGCTCTTGCCAACGACAGGCACAGTCTTGCACTCCTTGCCACGATGAGTTTCGTGGGCTTGTTCTGATGTTACTGTCAGACAAGTGACATAAGTCACAACAACATATATTGCTCCATTTTTTTTAGAAATATACGACTAGATGCAAAAATAAAAATTAAGTAATTATTCGTAAATGTACATAATTGAAATTGAAAATACCTGAGGTTTCATCATTGTTTTATTCTGAAAGTTTCCAAATGAGAAAATTCTGATCATATCGGGATGAAATGCCTAGAATTTGAATTAGTCATCTAGACAATCCTAATAGTTTCTTAGAAAAAAAAATGTTGCTTTTTGTTGAATATAAAAATATTGCAGCATCTAATTTAAAAATTTTTGACTTATGATAACAACATAAGACATCTGGACCAAATACATTGTGCAAGGAAAAAGAATGACATTAAAAGCAATAACTGTAACTTAAACTAAAGTACAGACTATTGTAATTATAGAATGATGCTGATTCATCTTCATAGGCTTTTCTATCTGCTAAGTTCATCTTTCAGGTCTTCCCCTCAGAAATGATATACAACGGTTAATTTTTCTTCTGTCGATTCCCAAACGGTAAAATTACTAGAAAAGGAAGGAAATACTGGAGTAAATTCGATACATTTTGACGAATAATAAAATAGTTAAATATTTTATGGTATATATTCATCGTTACAGGCTGAAAGGAGACTGATTTTTTAATGCATTTTATTTCGGAATCCGATTGTCCTGAATGATGATCCATAAGTTTAGTTTTCATTTGATCATGAATGTAAATTTTATTGCTGTTTTGGAAATGAAAATCAAATGGAAAAAGTGATTTTGTTAAATGCCATGTACCTGTAGAGACATTACATATGTTTTGAAAGCAGGAGAGATGAAAAAATGAGTAATGCTCTCTCCAGGACTTAAACCACGGACCTCTCGAATACGCACCGAGTGTGCTGACCACAACACGAAGGCATGTTAAGAAGGTGGGAGAAATACCTTATATACCAATCATCTCGTTGTAGTATTTTACCATTGTCTTCATAATTGGTTTCTTTCCTTTTGACCAGGGCCGGATTTACTTATAAGCTACACAAGCTATAGCTTAGGATCCCCCAAGAATATAGTATAAATAGTATTAAAATATATTATAATAGACTTATAAAGGTCCCCGTATCTCAAATAGCTTAGGGCTTGAAGTCTAAATCTGGCTCTGCTTGTGACTGTAAACAGGGCCAATGCTAGACACTTTGCTACCTCGTGCAGTCTCTGTTCAGGTCCTAAATTCTGCTGCCCATTCCTCCCCTAAATTCTAAAAGTTTTGCTATTCCTAAATTTTGTGGCTTGATGATTCTTTAAATTCTAAAAATTATACTGTCCAGCACAACCGCACGAGTTGCACCGGCCCTGATTTCTAAAATGCAATCACCTAATGGTCTGGGATATTAGAAATCTTTGCAATATTATCGAATAACTTTCGATAAAATATCCCTTGGTCTGAAATTCTAATATTTTTCTACATTATAGTGAGCTTTTACTGTATTTTTATGACTTAAATGCTATTTTTATCATCTGTTTCATTTGCCATAACAGCTGCTTTCCTGTTTCAGGATTATTTGCTCGCTGCATGTTCGGACGGCACCTCTCGTTGTGAACGGCGCTGCCAGTACGCTGCTGATATCTTCCAGCAATTGGTCCCAATGCGGGACGAGGTGGAACGTGAATCCAGTGCGATGGTTCGTTTCGAAGGCCCCGATAACCAAGTCTTAATCACTGGTCAGGAACGGAATGTCCTCACTGCCATTCGCTTTCTCGATGCGAAGGCCCAGGATATCGCACTTGCCAAGTCCAAAGGGAAAGCCACTGACATCATGGGAGAGCTGGGCCTTATCAGCCAGACCGGAACGCAATCTCGAGAGGTAAATTTCGATTTTTTCTGTTCTAGAAAACTCAGAACTGATGCTAATTTTACTGGTTATAAACTTTCCTCGTCGAGAAAGGTGTTGGCTGCAAAGGTGTTGCAGTCCACCTTGTCTACTAGTTAGATGTAGACACGCGAATTTATATTAATGGGTTTTCCTTCTTATCATTACCTTGGGTGTATCTTGGCAAAAAAGAATGGCTTTATGTCAGAAGAGGTAAAGTTTCTTTTCTTGTTATTCGGAGTTCTATGCGATGAATGCAAATTTAGGTCTTTTCAAACTTTAGGCGTTTAATGGAAATGAAACCGAAAGGGAATGTGATTTTCAATCCCCTTTTCTCATTCATCTAAGCGTGACAACTTAATGAATAGCCTTGTTCGTTGCATTAGTCATGAGACTATTTGCTGGAAATTCTTTGCATTCATATATGTAGTACATTGCATCTGATGTATAATTCCGCCCATATGATTCCACTTTTAATTTTCCATTGTTGAACGAATAAAAAAAATCTAAGGTATGATACAATTTATAACATAATTGTCTTTTTGCTGCTTAAAACAAATGTAGCTCTTTATCGATGAATTATTTAATTTTAAATTTAAGTTATTTTGTCACAATTTAAATCGTCTCTCCCCTTTACCGTTTCTGTTTCAGCGACAAAGAAAAAAAAGTTATAGTTATAAAATAAAATTTAAAAATAAAAAAAAAAAATAATAATTGCAAAAGTAGTATTCTCTAAAAACTGACCTATTCTTCAAAATAACATACTGACGGAATCTTCTTTGGTCACAATTTATTTCTTTTACGCTAATACTAATTTTAAGTGTAGCAGATGTAATGTCGCTAAAAATCCTCTTTTCCTTATTAAAGTATCCTTGTTACTTGCTATTACCATTGTCATACATATTGTGTTAGAGGTTTAAGTTGCTATTTTTAGCTACTTGAATGAAAATAGGGAGGGATATTGTACGGAGAAGTTATTTTAATTATACATATATATTTTTCTAGGTTTTTCGACAGGGGCGAAATCTCGAATCCGAAGATTCCAGCTACGATTCCGATTACGAAATTGCCGAATCTGTTGGTACTCCACAGAGTGAGACTCAGGAGCTTTTTGATCCTCACCATGATGACGTTAGTCGGACAGTTTCAGATACATTAGCTGCAGAATTCGCAGAATATGTTACTAGAGATCCAAATGCAGCTGATGCTAATCGTAGGGAACTTGATTCTATTCTGGCAGACCCTAATTATACGAGTCGTGTCGAATTCGCATTGAAGCTTGGCTACACGGAAAACCAAGTGCAGATTGCACTGCAAAAGCTGGGTGCGCAGCCCAGTCAGAATGAACTGCTAGCTGAATTGATCAAATTGGGCGCCTCTTCTTCAGCCATTTTTCAACCACCTTCGCCTCCAAGGAGACTGGAAAGAATGGGTGGTGAGGACATTGTGGTAGATCCTGATAACCTAGAAGGCGGAAGGATAACGTGTGATGCACTTCTTGACGATCCATCAAATCTGCGACATATCGTCATAGATGGAAGTAATGTTGCCATGAGGTAAGTCTAATTCTCGAATAATTTTCTTTGATTATTTGCAGCGAAATAAGCTCACCTCCAAAAAAGTAGATATTCAGGATTATTTACGGTTGTTGTTTAAACTAAATCTATCTGTGTGTATAAAGTTTGCGTTAATCATGACTTTTATATACAATAAAATATACGTAAAATGCAGTTAATTCATTAAGTTCCTCTTAAACTAGCAGAAAACAAAGGTTTTGATGTAATTTTTTAAACATAAGCTTCATTTCGTGGAATACAAGTGGGAAGATAGTCGAAAAATATTTAAAAACTCATTAATAATGTTAGTAATATATTAGTTTAAACACTATGAATTATCAATAAAATGGTGTAATTTAAATAGTGTAGCATATTTAATATTGTATACCACGCGCGCTGCATAGAAAACAAGAGATGCTGTTCTTTATTTCACTGTTCCGAGGAATACAATATGAATTGCATTTAGCCGTTCACCATTATCGATGTGCCTTCAGATACATAACTGTTAATGATTGAAATTGTTAATGATCCGCTTGATGCATCAAGATATCGTATATTTTAGGTAGATCGCGAGCAAACAGTAGAAATACGTGCAGGGCCGTAAATTTTGAGCCGTCATATATATATATATATATATATATATATGCCAATTTCCTTCTGGCTCGGTTTTGGTTTAGCTTTACGATAAATTACTTGGTAAAATTGGCATGGAAGGTTTTTTGTAGTGTCCCTTTTCCTTGATATCCTAAGCATGTGCTTATTTTGCTCCGGCTTTGATAAGATGTGTTTATAAATAAATTATGATATCTGCTGTAAATGAGTTTTGCTTCAAGATTCATATCTGAGAATGAAAGGCAGAAAACAGCATTGGATTCATGCTTATTTTCGATTTTTTTCCTCCGTGGAAAACTGGACATTCCAGACAACTTCCACTTTTTTACAGAGCATTTCAAAAAAGTAAGTCTTCAGTTGCACAGTATGAGAGCAAAAAATATTTACCGATTTTTATTGGGCAAAATGTATACTAAGCTTTTGTATGCGTTAAATGACGGATAGGTCAAAATTTCCAATTAACATGAAGATATCAAATTTTTCCATGTGAGATTTTTGCTGCCATCAACTCAATAATATGAAATCTATTGCAAAATTTTGTGCGGGAGGATGAATTGTGTGCAAAGCGCTTTGGATAATATCATGCTATTATTTGCATTTTAGAAACAAACAAACCAAATACGATTGAATAATGATATTTAGTTTGCATTTAGCTCATTATATCAAAAATAGATTGATTGATTACTTTATGAAACATCATTATTTTCATGTATGTAAATATGTTTTTGAACAATAGTGTAATTTGTGTTATAAAAGTATTTCTACTATGCATGATAACTTTTCCCTTTAATTTTCAAAGTACTATTTAAGCATAATACCTTTTAATCATTGAATTGAATTAATGGAAAGCGGTTTGCACTGAAGTATAGAAAGGTTTCGGTAATTTAATATATTTAAGTCTTCGCAAAAGAACGTCGGATCACTCGCAAGGTAGATATTACCGTTGATATAAAAGTATTAAGATTACTGAATCTTATCCTGCCCACAAACAATTGCTTAATGCATGGCTGATCACTACTGATTTAATGTAACTCTGTTGAAACCAAATCTTAATGTCGAGGTTGTACTGAAGCTAAAGTGTACTGCACATTTGAATCGGAAGGTATAAAAAGGGACTGTGTGACAGAAGACAAATCTTACAGAAGCAGCTGAAAACTAGCCTATTTCTCATAAGAATCTCAAAAGAAGTTTGAAAAACGCTGAATTGCATGGAACCTAGTTATATCAATCTCGTAATATTTTGTTGTTGACTTCTGACATTATTGTGAGGAATGGTATAGTTTTTGTTGCTCCTATAAAATCTGACTTTTGTCATATAGTCACGTTTTACATCTTTCGACTTATTTATTTCCTTGATATGATCTCAAAAAAGAATTTTTTGCAAATTAGGGAGTTGAGGAAAAATGAGATTTTTGGTCGTTACTTCGCTTCTCAATCGATTTTCATTCATACTGAAATTCACTTTTAAATTTAGAAAAAGAGGATCTTGGGACAGGTGAGAGTCGGGGCGCAAAGCTGAGGACGCAACGAAATCCCCAAATACATCCCAATTAGGTCATCTAGCGTTCCGCTGACACAGTGACATCCCTCTTCTTGGCATATCCGGTTCTATTTCCTTGCTCATAGTCGATCAGCGGTTGCTACTCGGAAATCACCTTGCGCTGTCTCTCATTCACAATCTCATCGCCTGTCTTCAGTTTATTTATTTGCTTATTAATTAGTATGCGTCAGGCCTTATCTTCCCGGACCTCCGCTTTTTATTTCCCTTTTTGTTCCTAGATTAGTTCACTGATATCTTTCTCTTTATCTGACTCTTTGCTTATTCTTATACTGTGCGGCTTTCGGTCATAATTGTAACTTTAGTTTTTTTGATTGTTACTTTCTCATTTAGCTTTTTTTCAAATTTTTTACTTGGCTAATCTGTATATATTCTTTATTAAATTTTATCAGTTATGAGGACCTTGAACAGAAGGAATTTGATGATTGTAAACTTTTAGTATTATTACTAGCAGCTCCGCTGCCAGCCTTCGTCTGGCTTTTAAATAAATGTACCGGAAAAATAGCTGAAGGGAACACCAGACGTTAAATTTAAAAACTGCTTAGAATTTTACTCTGCAGAACAACTTCATAAAAAAAAAAGTTATTACATAAAACAAACTACAATGAAATAAGCAATATCCCTTTATATACAAATATTAATTATCCTAATATAATAAATAAATTAACCAACTTCCCTTTGCAAAATCTTAAGAACTCAAATGGTAATAAAGGGGTTAAGAACTTTGCTTCCTAAAAAAAAAAAAAAAAAAAAAAAAAATCACTCCAAACTTTTTCAATATCTTAAAGACAGTGAAATGAGCAATAAATAACAGAAAAGAATACAAAAAACAAAAAATTCTGAAAAGCAAAGTATAATTAATGATATTTTATCTTATATTTTCAAGAGAAAAAAATTGCAATGAAATAAGCTATATCCCTTAATACAAATATTAATTATCCTAATAAAAAAATAACCAACTTTCCGTTGAAGTAAAAAAATCATGCTAAACTTTTCAGTAGCTTACAAATAGTGAAATAAGCAAAAAATAACATGAAAGAAACTCAAAAAACAAAAAATTCCACGCAGAATTTTACTCTGCAGAACAACTTTATTTAAAAAAAAATCAATAAAAATGTATTATATATGTAAAAAATCTGATGTGTACACCACATGACTTCCTTGTACGGAATATTTCTCGTATTTCATTTAAACTTATTAGATTGAATTAAACCTACTTTCCCGACACCGCATAAACCACAATAGAATAAATGCATACTTTAAAATTCACTTTGTTTACCATAGCGACACTCTAGCACTAGGTTTACTTAACACTATTATATTTCATTCATATTATAACTCAGAATGCACAAAATGTATATCATTTAAAGAATTATCTAATCGTTGCCACATGTTCTATTCAAATACTATAATAAAGCTACAACTATGTATAAAAGAAATTAAGCAAATAAAACAAAAAAGAAACAGTTTTTCACAGGCGATTGAGTATTTCTCATTCAATTAATTCAGTTTTCACTTCGCGACAAGGCAAAAATACATAAAATCTCAAAATATCTGTATTAAAAATTACAAAGTAAACCTTAAACGCTTATTTCCTCGAAAAAATTCCAGAAAGGATTAAGCATGATTTAAATGATAAATGAAGGCGTTATCTTTGTTGTTGCGAAGCTAAGTTTCTCTAGATTGGCAACAAATCCGCTATCCTGCTGTTTCAAATGTAAACAAGAGCAATGGCCGCCATCAAAAACATTATTAGGCTTAGCGGCACTTAAACAATTTTAAAATTTTTGATAATTCTAAAAATATTGCATACAGATTTACTAAAGGCATAAAAACCTTAACCGGAAGATAAGAACAACATAATTCAATCATTTTTAAAGCAAAAAATGTACAATTTACAAACATATAAGAGCAAAGAAACTGAGATCACCGAGCCGGGTAACAGAGTGGATATATATATAAATATATTTATATACGTTTAGTGCGGCCGATTACTACTAAAATACGAGGTGCACATCTACATGTTATAGCAGTCCTATATACAAAATTTCAACGTTCTGAGGCTACTCGTTTTTGAGTTATGCGAGATACGTTCGTGCAGACGCCACGAAAAATTCTCTTCAGAATTCATTTTAAAGCAGTTTTATAATTTTTTTTGGAGGAAAAGAGTGTTTTATTCTGTCCTTACATACAGATATCACGGAAATACATCGTTAAATTGCATTTGAAAGAGGTCAAAATGGGGTATTTTCGTTGAAATATGCTGCCTGAAACTTTTCGCGATTACAATACTTCCTTTTTACTTCGTACAAGGGAGTAAAAATGACAATGAAATATGCCAATCTCTTAAAAACAGTAACATAAGAAATACGATGAAAAATTGTTGCCAAACCCATATTTCTAAAAGAATGAAACTATTCAAAATGATGAGATTTCATCAAAAATCTATCAACAACAATAAGAAAGGAAAATTGTTGCCAAAATCACATTTTTTAAAGATGTGAGAAGTGTATTCGGAAGCCTCATTTAAAAAGAAATTTTTAAATATACAAAATATTATCATTTTTCCAAAATTCTTTTTGTAAAAGGAGTCGCAAGGATGAAAGTTTAACGTATCCAAAAATCAAAGAAAAATAAACTGTACATTTTTAGAAATAAACTTTTTAAGAAAAAATCCCGTTGAAAAGGTGTTAAGCTCACTTTGTTAAATAAAATTCGTACTCATTCGATTTATTGAAACGCGAAATTTATTTTAAGTTCGTAAAATAGCTAAGTGCCTACATTTCATGACGATGTGAAAATTGAGTGTGTAGAGTAAAATCTCGCTTTC